TTAAATAACAAAGCGATAAGAAATAAGCTTAAAAAAATTTCTAAATAATGATTAAGATCTTTTAAATCCTCCTTCCTATGTGTGCGCGAGATTTTATTATTGAAATATATTTTTATAGAAAATGATAATTATTTCGCTTCCTCTTTCTCTCTCTCCCTCTTTCTTATACTGTCATAAAGCACAAAATGCAGGAGACTCTTAGTTACAGCAGCTACATTAAGTGAGAGATGCTCTTTTACGGAAATTGATAACTAATTATTTACCAAATTACTTTGCGGAATGTTAATTTCATGCGCCTCTCCCGTGTTTTTGCTACGCCAGCCGAGAACACGTTTGCGAGCGAGCTGCCGCTTTTATAAGCAAGGTAATTACGATATAATAATAACGGTGGGCGTCGTGGCGCGGCGTTTTGCGCGGTGAATCATTGGCGCCGTTCCGCCTGCTCGAAAATTTTCGTTCGTGCATATTATGTAATTAAGCGCGTAGAATGTACGACGCGATAACAGCAATTAATTACAGCAATCCGGACCGCGTCGTTCTGCGAAAGGAAACAAGTTAAGTGCGCTTATGAATTAGATTTAAATAGGATTATTATTAATTCTGCGATTATTACAGTTATTTAACTTTTTATTACCATCAAACGTACCTAATATAAAAACTTTCAACAATTTTTATTTCAGAGATAGATCCTATTAATAGAGATAACTGTATTATACAAGCGTATAATGTAATAATGTATAATGAAATTAAAAGTTACGATTCTTTTGCTGAAGCACTTTCATAGGAATACCGGTATTATCGTTTTAACGCATAAAAATTTTTAATAACGCCTTAATTGTTTCAACATTATGACACCTTATGCCTGCTGATCGTATATCTCTTGATTTTATTTCCATTGATCTGCAATCACGATGGCAATTTGTAGTCGAGAAGGACGCAATAGAGAAGAGGGATGCACCGGTGCAAACGGGAACAATAGAACCGGCAACCGTGATAGTGGAGAATTCCTGTTGGATTCGCGCGCGGAATTACAAACGATCGCGCGAGTGTAGTCGAATGAGGGCGAGTTCGCGGTGGGTTCTCTCTTTCCTCCTCTCCTTTCTGTCTTTTTCTCTCTTCTCTCCCTCTTTCTCTCTCTCTCTCTCTCTCTCTCTCTCTCTCTCTCTTTCTCTTTCTCCCAGCTCAAATGCATCGGCGCGTTCGTTTTGGAATGCCGCCGCTGCAACAAGAAGAAAACGATTCGATTCCATTGCCGTGGCGGCGGAGAGACTCGACGGGAAAGTTCTCGCGGGCCGAAGAAGGAAAGGCTCGACGAGGAGAATCGAGCCCTTGGAGGGAGCGAGGAAGAGGGAGAAAGTGTGAAAGGGAGCGAGTGTAAAGGTGTGCGGAAGGGTGAGAGGAGGAGGTTGTAGTAGTGACCAGTCGTAGAATGCCACAGCTTACGTTGCGTGCCACGACAACGGCGTAGAAGTGCGTCTTTTCAAGAATCTTTCAGAGTTACCCTTAGTGTACTCTTTTTTTTTTTTTATACGAGAAGAAATTATACGTTTTGCACTGAAAACAATTACTAAATTTTGATAAATCATTTGTTTGAATAGTGCCAACTAAATATTTACTAAACATAAAGATTTCTTTGTTACAAAGTTATTAATTTGATTAACTATCATTTCTTTTTATTGAGTAAATATTTCTTTATCGTAAGTAGATGTTTAGTTGATGCTATTCAAATAAAAGTATCTATTAAAATTTAGTATATTCTATATTTTTTTTTAGTGCGTTAATAAATGATAATTCTTAAATTGCTGAATTTTTACATTTAAAATTGCAATTACTTGAAAATCGATCTGATTGTTTTGAAGCAGAACTGCTAGAAGAAATCTAAGAGCTAAAAGAACTGAGTTACGAATTTAATTACAAAAGAAAAGAAGTTAATCAATATCTTCTCTACATGTTTAGCGAAAAAATATTTTTTCGCAATAACGTGCATTCATGTTCACGAATACGCAACATCCCTTCGTCGATTATTTGAGGGGAGTTGTGAGCTTCGGGTCACGAACTCAGGCACGCGATCGCGCGTTGCAGCGGATTTTCCTCTCTTTCGATCACCAGCTGCCAGCATTATTTCGCCCTTCTCATCTTGTACTCCTATATCGATCGCGGCGTATTGTCATCCCATTCAGACTGCGAGGAACCGCAGCTGTCGTACTCTAAACTTTTTCTTACGCACCGATGAGATCAGAAGCGTATAAGAATCGGTGGATTAAAAATTCGCCGAAAATTCTGTTCGTGTGTTCTAAAGTTTTATTCTTTTATATTTAATTATTATTTTTATGAATATTTTTATTATTAATCGCTATCGACTTTCGAAATTGTCAACAAAGTAAGTTAATCAAGGACTAATGAGAAATTAGTGCTGAATTTTTTTATATTCTTATATAAATAATGATACTAATATTTCACAAAATAAATTGGTATATTTAGAAAAATATTACTATTGTTATTTTTATGAATATAAAAAAATTAGAATTTAAAAATGGAAATCTTATGAATTAGAATTGTTGTTAATGTATATATAAGTTTGAATTATTATCGCAAATGTAAATTAGGCTGCGGATAGAATTTGCAGCGTGTTCAAGAAAGAAAAAGTTGTCCCATCTCTATAAATCGTTACCTGTTACCTGTAGATAACATCGTCCCCATCATCGCCGCCGCCGTCGCCGCTGGCGAACGGCCTTGGCCTGCGTCGAGTTTTGCAAAGCGATTCGGCTAACAAGAATTCGGCACGTGCATTGGAGCTTGGGCTGAGCCGACCGTAGAAGCTGCGTGCGAAAGATACGGTCTTCCGGCCTAGTAATCGACGCCAACCTGCTCCAAGAGATTCTTTTTATTCCGCTCCCGAGAAAGCAAAAGTTGTAACCGTGACGCTCTCGACCTTCCGCGACTAGACTTCAGAAACGCTTTCAGCAAAATTTGCGAGTGTGAATGAACTCTATTGATTATCTTTTTATCATCAACACGTATCTTTATTACATTTTTTCAAGTTGATTTACGATCTTTAATTACAGACGTTATATCGATTTTTAATCTAACTTTACAAGTATAATGGCTCCTTTCACGTTACTGTCTTTAAAAAGTTCAGTTCCTAGTGAGATTTTTTTTCTTATTAGATCACTTTTTATCTATTTATTCTATGATTGTACAAATACTTGTTAAAAATATAACAACAATAACCAAAAATGATTCGATTTGTTTTGAGGTTCTTCTAAAAAATATAAATATTTTATGAAAATTATAATTCTAATATAATCGCTCAAAATAAAATATTTGGATTTACTTCTAGACAATTAACTGAAAGTAAATAATAATTGAAATAATGTTACACTTTGATATATTCAAATTATTGACTTGTGATTTTTTAGTATTACATTTTTTTATATATTATATTATCTGCCGTTATTAATTTTCATTTTATATATATACTTGTGAAAATAAGCGCAACCTAAAATTAATTTATTAAAATGTTTTATTTAATGACCATTATTAAATCTGTCTTTTCATATCCGTTTTCCATTACTTGCATTTTAACTAGATAAAATGAATTTTAATAATAAACCGATATCTTATGATAAATTTCTTATCTAAATTTAGTAATTGAATAATCATTATTCAAAGTGTATTGCTTGTTTTTATCGTAATTTATATTCTATAAAAATATTGAAATAAAATAATTTATTATATTTTAATTCAAGGAGCTCTTTCAGATATTTTTATTGTGTACAAAATATCATATTATAATATTATTTCCAATTACTATGTTAATTGAAGATTAATAAAATATACGGAATTTCAATTTATAAATTAAATAATAATTTAATAATTTGCTTTTTGTTTTATTTTATTTATATATATATATATATATTATATATATATATATATATAATCTAAAGTTATACTTTTTTATTTTTTTTAAAAGACCGTTTATACGAGATATGTTATAGTTACATAGTTAGAGATAGAGAGAGGAAAGTCGTGCAAAAGTTGCGTATCAATTGCTCGATTACTCGATCGAGGCTATCCAATTAACACCGAAAAAGAAGGGGCATCTCCGAGGGGGATAATCATCAGAGCACGTTCTTTCCTTTTTTTTTCCTTCAACGTAAGAACGTGACGCGAAGGACCGGCTGCTCGGAGAAAGGACGAGGCGGTGGTAGACATCATTCGTGCATTTACGATCGCAGCGTACACGGGGCATCTGTTCGTTAACCACCTGTCGGCAGGTGCGAATCGTACACCCGGCCCCGTTACCCCGCGCAGTTGGTATCAATCGGCTCTTTTGTTTTTGCTGGTCTGTTCTTCGAAGTCATTCCCGTTTTACTACGACGTAGTACGCACGACATGCGATAGCCTCCACCGGATGTTATCGGCCCATACGGTGTGGTCTCCTTCTTTCCATCCCGACCACGTAAAACCCTTTAAGCTTGTGACACGGTAAACAGGAAGTCCCCGGTCTTCTCTTCTTCTCTCGGCCGATGGTTCTCCGGTTCTCCGATGCAGGTTGCATGTGATGCGTGAGGAGCACCTGCGTCAAACGCGATCTCTCTAGATTTATTACGAGGTCTTCTCTTCTCTTTCTTCTCTCGAGTTCTTGTCTCCGGTGTTGTCTCGACAATTTTTATTTCTACGTCTTTTCTTGATCGTAAACGTACTTCGTGATTTTACTTCAAGTACAAATTTATTTTAGCACGAATTTTAACACAATACTGAAAAAATGTGATTAAAATTCTGATTAAACCAACAAAAGGACCTAACAAGAATGGCATTGATTGTGATAATCAGAAATTCTGTTCGGTCTCACAAAATGTCATTCTTGTTTTGGATTCTTTTGTTGATTTAATTAGAACATTTTTCTCAGTGAAAAGATGGTGACACTTGAAGATTGTAATAACCTGAAAAAGTATTACGATTTGGCAAGAAATAATTTCTGTTTATTTATGTTATAGGCTGCGATACTCCAACAGACTGCCGAATACATATACCAATTAGAGCAAGAGAAAACACAACTGCTGTCACAAAATTGTCAACTAAAACGATTGGTAAATCAACACGAAGGTGGCGATGTACCTATCAAGAAACGCAAACCCGATACACAAGGTAATGCTTTGTCAACTTTTAAAATAAATTTATTTTGTACAAAAGTGAAAACATTCGTATGCTTTTTACAAAAGAATATATAATTTTATCAAAATGATCTCAAAGAGATCGTTCATAAAAAAATCCATTACAAACCGTGAAAAAGTAGCGATAATGTAAAACTGCATCAATAAAACATCATGTCATTGTTTGCTGGCAAACATTTGTATACATAAAGAGCAATAGAATTAACGTTCGTCGGCCGTCATATAACGTGATTTTCCAAATGGACTTGAATTATTTATCGCTCGTGCGACCACGATTGCAACGTCCCATGTGGATTTGGAATCGTAAAAGCAAAAAGCGGAAACAGTCGCTGCAAAGCGCGAAAAGTTGCGCGGATATACATTGCAATCCGCTTATTTTACGGTTTTCCCGCTTTTATACGGCGCCACGTCGAAGTTTCTATAAGTTATTTCTCAATCGCGAAATTGAATTGTTGCATTTCTGAGACTTCCGTTCAAAAGTAAGTAAATACCGTCGTACTTTCAAATAAACATGACTATATGGATTTTCGCTTTTATGGTAAATTCGACCGCGCTTTGCCACAATATACATATGTAAAAATCGGAAGTTTCTTTTTTGATCCATTCATAAATAATTGATCCATTTTAATCTAATTTATATCGAATCAGTATACTAGCGATCATATTTCGTAGTAAGAGTGGGAAATTTTGCAAGCAGGAATTTTTTAATCTCGTGTCGACAACGTGGTCATTGCGGACGCATTTCGAGAGAGCCGTTCGTCATTTTCGCGAAAGTAATTACATTCTTCGCGACTTGATATCGCGTGAAAGGATGTACAGGATGTACATATTTCAGGAGGGAGGCTTAATATAATAACGAGGTGATACTGTCGCTTATATATAAATGAAAAATTTCCATAAAATTTAATTTGATTTGTGAAACTCAATTTCATTGTTATCTATGTGAAGGAGAATATCTCCTATGATATTTTATTACTTTTTTATCGAGATACGAAATAAGTGAAAAGGAGTCTCAATATTTTAAATAGGATTTCCTAGTAATTATTAAAACTTGTTATTTTAGTGTAAATAATTGTTAAATCTATGATATCGTTGCACATGCATCGTTAGATGTTCAGAAAGTAATATCAGGAAGGTTAAACTTTCGGGGATTATAAAGGGTCCAGAGAAACGGAGAGGCAATGGCAGCGTCAGGACCGTCCTCGAAAGTCTTTATTACTTCGAGGACTAAATACAAGGGGCGAATTAAGGGTACTCTCTCTGTTTCGACGCCGGTGGCGTTTCGACGACGTCGCCGTCGCCGTCGCCGTCGCGGCGGCGTGCCTGTCGGAAAGTATCTGTCGCGAACTTCGGCCGAGACAATTTCAATTTCCGGTTCTATCGTAAATTAGTTTCCTCCGTTCGATGGCATGGCGATATTCAGAAAGTTCGTCGTCGGCTGTGCGACGAAGCGGATTTAATGCCGACGAACCGACTTTTATCGATCAATCGCGGTTAACCCTCCCGATTGCCTTCAAATATCAACCCCAACATTTACAATAATTATTCGCCCGATGGAATAACGTATTTCGTAATCGAGTCTGCGGGGAAGAAGCTAATTCGAAGTCTTGGCAATTTATTTAAAATAATTTTATGAATATTTTTTATAATGCAAATATTGTACAAATAGCGATGAAAAATTAAGATATATAGAAGATATCTATGTTTTCATATTTAATGTTAACCGCTGCACTCAATAAAGTTATTATTATTATTATTATTATCAAATAGAAAAAAAAACATTTTAATTATTGAGATAATTTTACATTTTATTTAAATAATTATAGACTGCCTAATTAAACTTATAAGTATATGAATATTAAAATTACTTAAATGTTGAATATGGTGTAGTGAGAAATTAATATTGAAATATATATTCTTAGGATAAAACCATGAATAATGAATTAAAAACTTTATAAACAATTTAATAACATATCTCTTTTAAATCCACGTGTAGGCTGAGGAAAAAATTGATATTAATAGCGTTCGATGTCGCGGTGATCTCATTGATACCAATAGCCGATAATCACAGGTACCGTTCGAAATCACATTAATTAATAAATGTTCGATTGATTGAAAATGTTTGCAAGGACGACGGACAATTTGCTGTACCGTTACCACATTATAATTCACCGTAACATTCTATGATGTCAAATAATGTGCAAATGAAGTGAATATACAGGAACGTTACATTCACTTCGCTTTAATATAACATTGAAACAAACGGACTGGCCTTTGATCTGCGCGAAGTGTAATGGTCTCTATATTTGCTCTATATCGTAAACAGTGACCAGATTTAATTTCGCTCACGGTCTCGCATTCATTTATATCGCGCGGACAGGTTGGTACGCTGGCATGTGTGCGCTGGAAATCTAAAATATAATTCTGAAAGTTCATTGCGGTTATTCGCCGACTATAATCCAATTTTACGAGCCTTCCTCATAAATTAGTTTCATAAAAACGTCAAGCTGTTTTTACTACAAAAATTGTTTTTTTTTTTTACAGCTATTATTTATCTAACATATGTGACTTTTTTATATGTAACGTCGCGATTTTTGGAAAGTACAAAAAAATTAGAATAAACAGTAAAAATAATTAGAATGAAATATTTTTGTTCTAATTATTTTTCAAATTCTTGATTTTAGTTTGTTCTAATCTTATTCAAGCGCTGATCAATCGATTCACTTTTTTACAGGAGGGGATATTATGATTCAATATCTCTCTCATTTCGATTTCTTCTGCTTTTTCAGGTGTTGTCGTTAGTCTACCAATGCACGTTAGCGAGAGCGGTGACGAGGGCTTAGGTAGCATGTCCCCCGAGCCGTTGTCGGTAATCACAGTGACCACAGAGGGACATTCCGTTGTGAACAGCGATGTGGTGGAGCTTAAGCGACAGCTAGATAGGGAGCGTCAGGCGAGACTGCATTTAGAGAAACAAATGAGAGCAATTCAGAACCAGGTGTATCCAGAGAGATTCCGAGACAATCAGCTAATCGCTTATCAGCCCCACGAGGTAAATTCCATTCCCGTATTGCTTTCACTAATCTTTCGGGGAGTAAAGTAAAAGTGGACTTTGTGCAAATATAAATTAATCGATATAACTTTAGGAAAAGAAGAATAAATTCAAATCGATCAAATCGATAATATGAAACTAGAAAATTTGTAACTATAAAAAACGTTATGAAAGCGCGACAACAGAGGCCTTAACTGGAAAATCACAGTCAATGAAAACGAGCGATTTCGATTGCCGAGAGATCGCTATCTGTACACGATACAGAAAATAATCCAACCGTAAACTCGTTTGACCCTCGAGGATTTAAACGTTTTTCAGCCGAAAGATATTGCAAACATTGTTTTAATCGTTCGCGTAGATAACTACGTCTGATAACAGATCGTTGCAACATTGTATACCGTTTTATTATTTTATTGAATTGATTTCCTTCCCTTTCCCTTTTATCTACGTTTCGTGTACAAAATATTTCACCTGGTCTTCGCTGTGAACAGACACATCGCAAAGAGACAAGTTTCACACATATGTGATAATAAATAAAAAATGTCATTACTTTTTTAGGTGATTGAGCATACAGACAACGTTATGGCACAGGAAACAGAAGAGGCGGTAGCCACGCTTCAGGTGGTATCGGTCATGTCTTTGCCGCCGGTAGGCTCCACTCAAACTGTAGAGACATCCAGTCCGGATCCAAGCTCGCCGCCTTTGTCGCCGCAGCCGGCTGAAATGGTGTCGGAAGAAATCAAAGAGGAAGAGTCACGCGCGAGTACCCCCAAGATTGTCGCCTTCGCCCAGAATCAGGTGTTCACGGCGATGGAGGAGCCAACTACCGCGGATTCGTTCTCGTCGTCGAGTCGCGTCACGTACGCTACTTCATCCTCCGCAGATTTCAAGACTGGCTCGCCTCAGTACATCACCGCGAGTCCCAGCAGGCCCTTTTCACCGGTTACTGAACCACGGCTACCCAGTGTTTTAGAAGCCGCGATGAAAGCTGAACCCAAAGTTGAGGTGGAGAGGTATGTGATACTCGTTTATTTTACCTTAAATACGCAATATTTATAACAATAAAATAAGCAATCAATGCCGATTGTTTGTTGTATTTGAAAAGATTGGGCCTAAGTCAATAAATAGACTTTAGAAGTGACATTTAGTTTACCTTTGTTTCAAATATCTAAATCGTCTAATGTGACAGCCATTACATCACATGTAAACATTTTCTTGTACAGAAGAATACTGTAAGTCTGATTTTTTTTTGTAGGAAATCTAATATACAAGATCTAATGAGAGTCAATTTTACAATGAAAATTTTCTTGACCCTGCAGGTTGCCTTCGCCATCAAGCTCCCTAGACGATGGTACGTCGCAGGCAAGGTTATACATCGCGAATACGTCTCGACAGAATCTGGAAACAATCGTCGAGGCGATACGTCATCTGGAGGGTGACCATTTATTCAGCGATGAACCAGCGCAGGATGTGCCATTGGCACTGACCAACAAGCAACAACAACAACAACAACAACAGCAACAGGCGACGGCGAACTCAACGTCAACGAAATCTGCGACCACTACGTCCGCCTCTTCACCCTCGACGACGTCTGCCACGGCAGCATCCGCGAAACAACGGATACTGCACGCCGATCGTTTCCTCCAATTTCATACGCAACAGCAGACCCAGCAGCGACCCGGCGTGATCGTGGTGAAGCATTCGTGATCCAATAACACCCCGCACTCCGTACACTGAACTACACATTCAGAACGACGATATTCTCACCTCCATCGCGCGAAATCATCGTGGTTTATCATTCGAAAATGAGGAATCCCTTTCAACCGATTCAAGAAAACGTTCGCAGAAACAGGAGAAGTGGTAGCGATTATCACGATCAAGAATCACGTGTATACTTCGCGCTGAAGAACTAGGAGATATATTGCGAGATGTACGAAGAGATAAATTTTATGTATGTTCCTATTAAGCGCTTCGTTCGTCTTCGCCTCGACAAGGCCGCTAAGAAGGATTAATAATGCATGCGATTGAAAGATTTTTAGATAGGAAGGACAAAGTGATTTTAAATCGCGGATATAGTTTATAGGTGAAGGTCGAATCACGTTCGAAGTTTGACGAAAGGATCCTCATTGCCGAGTTGTCAAAACGAAACGACATTATCGCGCTTTATCTCATGTAAATATTAACGATTCCTCCTGATCATTTCCGACGATCGCCACGGGATAGCTTTGAATCTCGAAGAGTCCTTCTCCCCTCTCTCCTCCCCCTCCTTCCCTCCTCTGGAGAAAAGTTCTCTTCTCTCGCGAGAAAATCACGAGGCCCGAAGTAGACGTTTCTCCTTCCGTTTTAATGGATAGAACATTTTTAAACTTAAGCGAGTAACTACCACGGTAATATTTCTAGCGCGTAAGGTTGCGTACGCTGTATGATATACATATATACAATATTACATACATATATTATTTGTAAAGAGTATAAAATATATATACAGATTTACGTTCTTTTTTTACATTGTTACGGAAATGAAGAAAATAATGACGAAGCGAGGAAAAATATTATGATATAACGACGCGATATATGTTTTTTCGATACTTATCATGGGGTTACCACTGGATAAGCGATTAGAAGAAAGTGGAAACTATCGAACAACAATAAGGTATTAATCAAAATACATCCACATGCAACGTTTAGTATTTGACGTACGTTATAGAAAAACGCGATGGAACTACGAAGCGTAATTCGCGATCAGTCAAGCCCCAATCCGTGCGCGTATATGACTCCTTTCTTCTGTGTTCTCGTGTCGCTCGAGACGTATCGCGGGTTGAAAATTCCGTTTAATCTGTGCCAAATATCTCCAGAGAGTACCCAGACGTTTTGTTCCTTCGTAATAGATGTAATGCGCGTAAAATGTAAAAGCGACGGCGCCGGTCGGTACATTCAGTAGACCGAAAAGCAGTAAGTCTACGATCGCTCGTCTTCTCTAATTTACTCGTCAATGCGATACATGACGATCTGGAGATGCCGTTTCTGTTTAGTAAAGCGGCGGCTTCTCTCGGCCGTCATTCCCGTTGCGTCGCCGATCACAACCGACCTCACTATTAGATTAACAATCAGCGTCGATCAATTAATCGCAAAGGCCGGAGGGGAATCGGAACGAGCAACGGGTTTTTTCTACGTCGGGCCGACGTCTTGCGATTCTTTTCGAGACTTCACTCTTAACCCTGCCGCATATAATACACATTGTACGAGTTTTTTCTACGAGACATACGGATTTCTTACAGCTTGCGGATACGAGACTAAGAGGCTTGGAATTTACAATTTCTCGTGCCTTTTCGAGGAGAGGAGCGATCGGCTTTCAGAAATGGTCGAACAATCGATCGACCGGCGAAGAGAAAAGGGCTGCAAATGTTTTGTTTTTCTTTTACTTCTTTCGTTTACACGCGTCTATATATTATGTGAATTGTATTTCTTTTTGTGTTACTTTTCTTTGTGCGAATATACTGTTTGATTGTACAAGCGTTATCGCTCGTCGAGTGTAGGCCCATAGACCAATTTTTAATCGATTATATTAATACAGATCTTTTCGCCCGTAATTTGCTATTATTACTGATACTATTACTACTCTACTATTACTATTACTACTACCACTACTTTCTTTTCTACGATGACGTTAATTGGTGTACGCGAATGCGACGTAAGTTTAAGAATTTAATGCGTAGATATATATGCCTACGAGAACATTAATTTTAAGTACTCTTTAAGTATGTAAGTTAGCGAGCAAACAAAGTAAGGCGCAGTGGTAAGACAGAACTACAGTTAAGATTTAGTTAACCTTCTAGCGTTTAGGATAATTATAGGGATTGTTTAGCCGACGCAAATTTGAAATACATCCAAGTTAATATTGTCTATCTGTATGATAAATGTGAAACGCTACTCCGTAACTATACTGCGTGTACATAATACCTTTTAGCGGATATCGCATAACACATGATCACCTAGCTGACGTACCACGACGCTAAAATAAGGCAAAACCTCGCCCTTCGTACGTTTCATCGTTTACGTTCAATTAACAGCATCTCATTTTGACAAGCGTGTATTTGGATATTTTTTTACGTACCATTGACATTCTCACCGTTCAATTATTTTTTTTTTTAGTATGCAGATATGTAAAGACCGCATTATTTTTTTGAGAAGGAATAAGAAAGGAGAGATATGTTTAGTGGAACAATCATTTCCGAAACGTACGAGAGGCGCTATATAGGAGATACGATTCTATCTTAGGCTTTCGACATTCGCGATGAAAGTGTGATCCCGGCGTTTCCGAAGTCGCGGATCTCGAAGGTAATGTACAAAGCTCGATGTCGACGTTCACGCGAGGACGCACGAGGGCCTAAAAAGAATAGAGAAATTCACCTTCGTCTCCATCTTTCGTATTTTCTCTACAATTTTCCCCCAGCGGATACAGAATATCCATTTATCTTCACGGGACAAGACTTATCGCCAAATAAGACGATCGTATCTTCTGTATATCTTGTCGCTCTACATCCTGCGATAATAGAATTGATGACAGCACGTGCTATTCTTATTATATACTTGAGCTCGGTGCCGAGTTCAATGGGAAAACAAATCGCTGGGAAGGTTTTCGAAAATACGAAAATGGACATGACGTTCGATGAATGACAGCAAATTAAATCATTTCCACGCGAGTCCGATATGTACGTCTCGTTTTCCCACATACGTCTGAGTCTTAATAGTTTCAAAAATCTCGTGCGAATATCTTCGGCGCTTCCATAATACATACACACACACACACACACATGCGCACACGCACACGTTACACACATACACATTATATACATACACATTATATACATTACATACGAAAAATATAACATATAAAAAAATATATATATACACGTACGATACTATATACGTACGTATCAAGTATACGAGTGTTACACACGCACGCCAGTTGTGCGTCGTGTTGCACGCATTTGGGGAAATCTCTTGGCGAGATCCTCAAATTTTACAATTGATACTGATTTGTCATTCTCCCTTAACTCCCTTTCGTTTCGGCGCGTTTCTACTTGATTCTATCACTCTCGGCACCAGCGTGCCACGATTTGCTCTCGATGGGTGACAGAATGCGGGAGAGGATTGAATTGAAAAGAAAATTTGAATTACACATCGCTGCGCACGTGTCGGCGTAAATTAAGATCGATGATGTTTACGGCATCATCATGATAGTTGCGAGATTAAATTAATTTTAGAACAAAGTCTAAAATTTTCCGTTCAAAACCAAAGATTGAATCGAACGAAATGAATTGTCTGTGTGGTTTGATATGCGAAAAATACTTTATCGCATTCTTCATACATACTGATATCATTCTTTCGCATCAATAACATGTGTGAACAGAAAGTTCCATATCTGATATTACTAAAACTTTTTCTTTTACTTTAACGCAGTACATTAGTCATTATAAAAGTTCGTAAGATTAATATGTTATATATTTATGTTATATATTATATTTTATGTTACATGTTACGTATTTTAATTGCAATGTTCTCGCGGAGTAATGTAAGTTTATTAATAATGATAATTATTACAACGATATATCTAAAGTTTATATTAGATACTAGATATTAATACAATTTTTTGCGTTTACAGCAAAATTCGCATTTAATGTTGTTGGACTATTCACGCTATCTGTGATACAACTATTTCGCAACTATCGATATTCCGTCAGAATTAAACGCGTTTTATTTTATATATCTTTCTCTGACTGTTATCGTGCACTGATCTAACACGCCCATTAAAAGCAGGCTTGTATTCATTGAACGTGACTATGAACGTGATATGCTCGATTATTTATAGCTTATTATGCAAGATTTAATTATAAGCGAGCAATATTTGGAGCCCGCTTTATTTGGACTTTTATTGCGTTAAATTCTGATGCATTTTCGAATGATATCAGTATAAGTAGATGTTATTCGTCTATCAACAGCAGACTTAAAAATATTAGCTCCTTCCCAATTTAATAAAACTGTTTTCGTTAATGAAAGCATATTTTTTTTCAGTTGTACAAGACAGTTTTGGCCGTTCTGATAATACAAGTATATATGATACCTTCTATTCTCGCAATAACGTATGAGTAAAATTATGGTTTGATCAACAAGACGTATATAGATAAATGCATTTTGATTAAACCAAACAGAATGAACCAAGTATTTCTTCTCTTGAACACAATAATACTATTTTACAAAGAGACATTTATCATTTGTTTTGATTAAACTTTTATTCAGTTTCAACGAACTCGTAAACACATCAAGTCTTACATAATACAACATAGTAATTCTGTGCTATGTACATTTTACGAATAAAAGATATATATTGAGTTTCAAAATTATATGTTAGACTGGTTTACTAAAAGAATATGTATTAAAATTAAAAGCGATATTTTTAATAATTTAAATAATTTTTTAAATTATTTTTAAATTTAAATAATTATTTAAAACCAATTTTAAAAATAAAAAAGATTTCAAAAATTAAATCATACAGGAAAATAAAAATGTCAATATGAGCCAACATGGTTGACTATGTATAACAAAACATTAAAAATTTTTTAGTTTTAACAGAAATAAGTTATTATCTGAATCTAAATGTCAATTTTTATCCATATAATTTTTCTGAGCTTTCCCAG